TGCAAAAGCACATGTCGAAAAAACACTTTATCGCGTTCCATTTTTCACAAAGCAAAAGAAATTGTTGTTTAGGAAAATAATTGTGTATGCTGACTGAATGTTATCGAGAAATGTCGAAATTAATCACAAACTACCTGTTTCGTTAGTAATGACTACTAGAACTGTTTGCATTGCCATCTAACATTTGCGGGCGGAAACTAAGTTAAGGTCCTAATATATATAAACTTTAGCAGAAATAAATATAAGAAAATAAAAGCTTTTTTAATGAACAAGCAAGCAAAGCAAGCAAACAAAGGAAATCAAAGATCAATAATAACTTATACATGGATTTACTAGTATAATAATAATTACAACAAAACTTTAAAAAGTTTTCAAAAGCTCAAAAGCTTTAAAAAGTATGAAATAATTTTAAATTCATATACTTATGTACCTATAATCCCATTCTAATGTTTTAACGATATTAAAAATCGGCGTCACAATGAGTGAGTCAATAATGAACTTTTTTATTATTTTTGTCCATACAGTTCAGTTTCTACAGTTATATAATTGCTATAATTTTGTTAAAAGAATTTTAAATTTTTGAATTTCAATAGTTATAATATGATTCATGTTATAATATGATTTCAATATTATAACTATAGTACAATATCATAATTATAATTATTATTTCAACATTATAATTATAGTTTTATCACAAAAGTCAAATATGATTGTTTTGATGAAAAAATTATGAAAATTATGTCTCTCTTTCTTCTTCCGACATTTAAAAACACATATTCTCAACTTGATATTTTGTGCCTCCTGTTCATAAAAATTACTTGTGCATAAAAAGAATAAATTTTTCATTGTCGAATCGTAAAAAAGGTATTTTGTTTTCTTACGCCGACTACTAATATTGATAGAATATTAAGATAGGATCGTGATAGAAAGAATATTGATTTAAAATTATTTCATATCTTTTAAGACTTAAAGTTTTTGAAGATAATTTATTATTTTTAAGTGTTTTACTTTTTACCTTTTAATTATTTACTTAAAGATTGCTAAAAATAAAACTTTCTCTTTTATATCTCAAAATATTCTTGGATTTTCGAGAAAATAATGAAATGACTTAATTTTGAAGTTATTTGAACGAGACTGAACATTGAACATTCTAAGAATCAAGTAGATAACACACAAGCTACAAAATATTTGACCTCTAATCTCAATATCTTTAGCGGTTCTCGAATTATGAGAGAATATACAAACAAATATACATACATACAGGGCAAATTGGGAGTCTCTTTTCTTTTTGAGAAGTCGGTTAGAAATGTATAACACACATATCCAGTATAGTCAAGATATTTATTACATTACAAAGTCCAACAGTTTCGTTCCAAATGCTTCTTGTCAAGCACTTCATAATTATTATTGCAAATTGCCACTATAAGATCCGTTCTTATTGGCTTCTTACTTACAAATTCTAAAATACATACATAGATTTTCCAGAGCGTCTAGACGTTAGAAGCGTCGCATAATCGCACCTCGCCACTTGGAGGCGACTCGAGTGAACGTAACGCGCATTTCTCGCCGCTTATTCAAGTAGCACGAGCTGTTGCCGAGCTGGCGGCATGTGCGAACGCGAGTAGACACACCCAGAGAACGTCTCGGCGACGCGTTCGCGCCATTTATACGACCTGGCCGCTTATACGCGCGCCGATAATCGTCTTGCCAAACTTTTGGACCGTGGTCCTCTAAAAGACAGCGCGCAAACAGCGCGCCGTGGAAGTCTCTTTGACGAAGTCGTTAAACGTTACGGTGCATTAAGGTCCGAAGGGGTTATGTGCTTGCACGTAAGGAATTTGAGACAGAAACATAAACTCCATCCTCCCGTCTGTTTACGCAGGCAAACTCCGAGCCCGGTCTCGCACCTAGGTGCGAGATCTTTCGCTGTATGTTTACCATAACATCTCGATGCAACCTGTCTTGGTTGAGTTACGCTCTGCCTCACCTTACCCGGGACCTTGTACCCTCGAAGGTGCTTCGGGGGATAAATCGCGTGTGAAATTCCTCCTCTCACCGAATCGAGCAGCCGGCGGCTGCAATTTCTATACCGAGACGTGTGAAAGCGAGATTTCCACTTCAATACAAAAACGTCACGCTCGAATACGCGAATGTCGAATATTTTTTCCCCTCTCCTTTTACTCTTCCCGCGAAATTTACACAGAATTTTGTAATAAATAAATTGCATACGCGGAAAGAATTTCATAATAAAAAATCACCATAAAATGTCGTAACCGAGAAATAGATTGACATTCTGCAATTTACATTAAATAATTCATTCATTTCATTTCATATGTGCTATTTATGCATCGCAACAAATTTTATGTCAAACTTAACACATTTCGCGTGTTTCAATTTATCTACTCTAATTTTTATGTTCATTTAACACAAAGTGAATATATCACAACAAATGACACAACTTATTTGTACACTTTACATATAAAATGTGTCACCAAGGATGTACACGTTACATAGAAAATGTGTTATTTTAACGTTTAAAAATGATGAATATGAACTCAACACGGAATAATCAAAATAGTACAACGATATTATGTCAGATTAATACAAGCACAGAAAAAAAGAATATTCTTGTTTGGGGAAATTCCTATTTTTGACATATAAACCTTAAAATAAAATTACATAATATTAAATGAAGATAAGGTACTTGCACCAATACATTTTGTATGGTTCAACATAGAAAAATATATTCTTTTTATTCGAAACAATCTTCATAAATAGGGAACGCAATATATTAGATTAAGAATATAATATTTTTAAATATCGGAAGAAGATATAATTATCATTAAAATAATCATATCGTATTTTTTATGAAACTATTATAATATTCAAATAATATTATAATATTTAGATTATATTCAATATATTCAATTATATTATAAAATATTTATAATATTTCAGTATTATAATATTATAATATTCAAATAATATAAAAAAAAATATTATAATATTTACTTGAATTCACGATTTAAAATTACTTGAATTCAAGACTTAAAAATTCTTCTAATAAAATTGTATGTCGTTATTTATATAACAATTATCAATGATTATCAATTTGAATATATTAGAAAGAAAAAAATTCAACACCAAAATTTTTACACGTATTGATTTCAACGCAAGTGTAAAATGTTTCTTTACCATGTCCACTTATTTATATATAGTAGCTAGTATATTTATATTTATATTTTAGAGACTGAAATGTGCTTCTAAAGAAGTTGCTATGTCCCTAACGAAATGTCTCTCAGCAAGATAGATCTTACTGATAATCTATTCCCGCGCTACTAAAAGTATAGTAAAATTTAAAAGAATTTGTACGAAAAATAAACTATAATATTCTGCTCGTGCAGCGGAGTTCTACGACGGTCGGATAAGTCGCTAAGATTTGCGACTACGTCGAGCTGTTAAGTACACGGGAACGTGTCGCTCGTTACGCACTGACACTCGGCAGATTTGCGTAACGCTAAATCGCAAATTAGAGTTTCAAGCGGCCACGGTTCCTGCGCTCTATGAAGAACGATGCAGCACGATAGATCACGGTGAAACAGTTTTTCAGCTCGAATGTTTGAATGGTGATTAGACGAAAAACTCGTTAAAAAGAAATAATATCTCCGTTATCGCGATCGAAAATATCCA